ATTTCTGACCTCCACAAGTGCTTCGGCACCTCTTGGAAAATTTTCTCAGGTTTTCAGTGGGACAGAAACAGGACAAGACTTATACTACTACACAGACTTGGAATATGCTTTCTTTGATGAAAAAAAGTAGTCTTTCAGTTATATTGATTGAAAACATACATATATTTATTTTTGTGCCCCACTACCATTACTAGAAGCCATTATGCTAAATTATACTGCATCAGTTTAAGAAAAAAAATATATATACCAGAGAACATTTAGCAGATCCAGTCACAACAGTGTCAAATAATTCACTGGTTCATAGTTCCCTTTCAAAAAGGGAAAGAAATATCCAGATCAAAGGTAGTATTTGTATCTAGATTATATATGTAATTTAAATAATAATTTTAAATACTGAGTTCAGATTACTCTTGCCATGTCTTTTGCAGGTTTTTTTGTTTGGACACATGATTAAATCTGTAGCCATTTGCAGTAAGACATTAATGCCTTTGAGTACAAGATCAGATTGGAACGGTGCATTTAAGATGTGCTGCTGTACTGTTTTAACTATAGCTAGATATAGTTTTCTTTTCCTAATAACATTTGAAAAGACAAGGTACTTTCCCTCTGTGCCCATTAAAACAGAAGATAAATTTGTATTTTCTTGATTTTGAAAAGTTTCCTAGAAACATGATTGTATAAAGCAATTACATTATTATGAGATTGTTTTATTACTCATTTTTGTCTGTTGTAATTTCAACAGGGGATGGCATGGTGAGTTAATGTTGTGTTCTCTCACTTTATTGCTTTCATGATCAAGTTGCACTGGGGAGGAATTTAGTTTCATTGCATCTAAAAAATTGCTCATATCAGCATGCACGTTTCAACTGTTTATGTATCCTCTTCCACCCTCAGCTACCTCAAATTTAGCAGAGTTCTACCTTTCAGATCAACACAATACGTTCTTGGCTCAGAATAAAGTTCAGATGGGACTCAAACAGTAAAAAGTGATTAAAAGGTGGGCTAACTACAACTGTATTCAGCTCCCACAGAGCTACAAATCATGCATCAAGAAACCGAGGTATAATAATTTCTCCACTACTGCTACTGCCTCAATAGGAATCACTCTGTATTGGTTCAGCAAGAGAACTAGGGAGTAGTAGCATAAAGAGAATTAATTGTGTATCACCATAATTTGAAGTAGCTAATCATTTTACTTGCAGGAACAAAGAACCTTTTTGTTCCTGAAGGCCAAATAGAGCATATGAGGACCTTGGGTCAGCCATGCATTAAACATACACCTTCATGTTATCCATAATCATAGAATCACAGAATGGTTTGGGTTGGAAGGGACCTTAAAGATCATCTAGTTCCAACCCCCCTGCCATCAGCAGGGACACCTTCCACTAGACCAGGTTGCTCAAAGCCTCATCCAGCCTGGTCTTAAACACTTCCAGGGAGGGGGCATCCACAGCTTCTCTGGGCAACCTGTGCCAGCGTCTGACCACCCTCACAGTGAAGAATTTCTTCCTAATATCTAATCTAAACCTCCCCTCTTTCAGCTTAAACCCATTTCCCCTTGTTTTGTTATTAACTGCCCTTAATAATCACACAAAATTAAGATCACACAAAATTAAGTCACTGACAAGTCCGTGCATTCCCCTGCCCTACCACAAGGCAACTCTTTCAGTCTGCCAAATGCCAGACTGAAACTTTGGGACTTGGCAACTCAAAGCAAAAATAATTTCATTTAAACATCATGTTGAAGCCAAGCCCTAAACCGACACAAGTGCCTTGAGCAGCCATGGGTTTTGATTCCTTATCAATACTCTCAGTTCATTACAGCTTCATGGCTTCTCTGTGCCAACACTGTTTGCCTGATTCACTTTAAAGAAAAACACAGTTAGTTAACTTCTCCAAGGTAATTTTTTAATCATCTGCCTATTAGTGCAAAACAGGTCTATGTCCTCCAGGACACACACACAAACAAAAAAAAGAAAGGCTCAAAACAAAAACAAATAACAAAAAATGAAGAGTGTGTGACACAAGTACTTACATACCTATTTTCAGTGCGAGTCATTTATTAAATATGTTCTCAATAATATGACATGTCTGAACTAAACAAACTTCCAAAAGGTAACATAACTTGGGCTCAGTACAGGTGGATCTAAAACAAGGATACATGAATATGCACATCTCTTCCCTCATAACCATGAACAAATACTAGAGATCTTAGACAACAGTCCCAATATGTAGCTACTAAAAATGGTAGTTTAATAACAAGTGATTACTGAGTACAGAAGACAACATGATTTTATGAATCAAGCAAAAACCTTAGAAAGCAATAGCACTGCCTTACAAATAATTTACCAATTTATTTTTCCTGGTCAGTTCTACATTGTATGGTTTTGGTCTTTCTGGTGAAGCAAAGATACCAAAATAATTTTTTTCTATGAGTCAAATAAAATTTATTTTCTCATTCAAATAAATGCCTGTTTGTTTTGGAGTAAGAGAGTGTACTTTTTATTTAAATCTTGCAATGAAATCTTGAACCTTCAGGATAAAAATTTTATGTGCTTCATCTCAAAAGTATTAAAGGAACATGTTTCAACCTAATTTTTTCCTCCCTAGCTATTTTTAAATGTAACATGATGGATTAAGTATGAACTGGTGTGTCATTTCATATACACACTTTTTAGAAAGAAAAAAAATATTTTCCCTGGGAAAAAAAAATATCCCTTTATTTAGGACATTTGGATTCCATTCCAAAACACATGTGCTGTCTTGGACATCTTATGCAATGTCTTCATCCCTCAGGCCTCTTCAAAATAAGCCTCTCTTGTCTATTTACACTGCAAACTGTTTGGAGCATAAACTTGAGAGCTAAAATCATTCTAGTAACTATATACTCCCTAGTACAACAAAATTCTCACTGCCACTGGGACCTTTATACATTGAAGGCAGAATTAGTAACAACTCTGTACTGTGAAATTTTAAACTTTTAAAAATGGAGGGACAGGTGAGAGAAAAAAGCCCCTAAAAAATTAGCTTCAGAATATATGTATGAATATAAATCAATTTTCCACTGGCAGTTGGGACAGATATTATTCAAAAACTTTAGCCACATATTTTCAATTATTTAAAGAAGAACTGTCTAAAGATCCAGCAGGTTTTTCCAATAGGCTTTATGATGGTTTTGGTTCTCTACCACAGCCAGTCTGTACTCAGATATAGGGCAGAGTGGGAGCTGCAGGGAGCTGTCTCACAGGTCCACAAGCGCTCAGCTTAGTACAAATTAAACCTGCAGGAAAAAAACTTTGCCATCCAAAACCTACCTGTGGCTCCTGCTAGACATTATGCTGTGGGAAATCAAGTGCTGCAGACCTCCACAACACACACGCATTCTGCTTCAGGTTTGCCTCATGTAAAATCTACTCTTATATCAGCAATTTCCAAGGGCAGGAACATGTCTCTCTGTTTTCTGAAAGTAAGGAAGCTTCTGCAGGAAAATCTACCATCAGACTTCTCCACTTAGCTCAAATATTTCACATCACACACTGACGACAAATTTATCACACCAGTGCCCCATCAGATATACAAATGCTACAGTTCTGCAGCCATTGAAAAATAAAGTTCATTTTCAGAAGTTTTTGACAACAAAAGCTTTTTGGGGGGTTTTTTTGGTTTTTTACCTCTTCCGAAGTGAACAGGACTAGTCTTGGCAAACCTGAGAGCCCTTTTTCCTTTATCTCTGGACAAAATTTGTATCTTGCTAAGTTCATAGCATACATATTCGAAACAGAGCCACCTGCAGAACAAGACAGACAAATATCATATTAGCCATAGTCCTAGTGCCTGATCTGTGTCTGAGTGCTTGACCTATTAGGGAAAAAAAATAAACCACACAGTTAGCCTATAGATGCATCCACCACAGCTTATTTCCTCCCCAAAAACCTACAGACATTAAATGAACTTTGGGCTCTGCAGCATGGAAACAGAGTGAGTTTGAATGCTCTTTAGGGATATATCCTGAAGAATAAGAACTGTGCCCAAGCAGTCCTCCCTGCCAGAGGACAGCCTGCAACAGCTCCTTCCCACTTACAGGGAAGCAGTGCCCACACTGAGCTCAGCTGTGGTTGCACCATACAGAGCCTAGGAGATCTCTTGCCCAACTGGGCCTCAGAATGTATTATGGGGGAAAAAAAGGTCATTCAGGGGAAAAAAAAAATAAACCAAAACAGAACAACAAAACAAACAAAAGAAAAAACCATAGTGAGTGGGAACTGGAAGATCTGCAAGGTAGGATCTGAATGGGTTTTATTCACTTAAAAGAACAAAACCAAAATAGTAAAAAAAACCCTTAAATAAAACTAGGACAAAAAAAAAAGTACAATTCATTTATCTTTTGGCAATATCACAGTAAGTTTTAATTAAGCAATTCTGCAGTAAAAGCAAGGATTCTACTAAAAATTCACATCAATCTGATATAAAAAAATCCGTATCATTAATACATTTTTTCCAAAAATTTTTCAAGGGATTTTAGTTTCTTTTTTTACTACTCACAGATAGGATAGACTGTTGTTTTGTTTTTGCAGGTGGGGGGTTAAATCCATTTACTCATTTAATTTATTTTCTCACCCCCAAATTAGACAGAAAAGCTTCACATCTAGACTAATAATTCGGTATCTCAGTACCTCAGGAATAATATCATTATGCTTCATATTTCCACACAGTGGGCTGGAACGCTGCTTTACAGAACATTTGAAAAATGTGGCTTATCAAGAAGCTTAAGAAATATTTGTTTGGTTGGACTGACCATAATATTTCAAAAAACTATCAAAACTCAAATGCATTAAGCTCATGACACTCCCACTAAAATAAACTACAGCTCCCACAGCTGACAGGCAGGATACACAGATGAGTGCCCTCAGGCAGCACTGGCTGGTGCCTAGCAGGCAAATCAGCTCCCCATCTGCCAACCAATTCGACTCAGTCCAATGAGGCTCTTGGTGCTGTTGTTAATAAGGTCAGGAAGGGCATCAGTTATAAACAATTAATTTCCTCATAATTATATTTCATGTAGAACTGTTTTCATTCATCTGCTGATCAGATTCACAGAATTATCAGTGTGCCCTTGTGGCCAGGAAGGCCAATGGCATCCTGGGGTGCATCAGAAGGGGTGTGGTTAATAGGTCGAGAGAGGTTCTCCTCCCCCTCTACTCTGCCCTGGTGAGGCCGCATCTGGAATATTGTGTCCAGTTCTGGGCCCCACAGTTCAGGAAGGACAGGGAACTGCTTGAGAGAGTCCAGCACAGAGCCACCAAGATGATGAAGGGAGTGGAACATCTCCCTTATGAGGAAAGGCTGAGGGAGCTGGGGCTCTTTAGCTCGGAGAAGAGGAGACTGAGGGGAGACCTCATTAATGTTTATAAATATGTTAAGGGTCAATGTCAGGAGGATGGAGCCAGGCTCTTCTCAGTGATGCCCAATGGTAGGACAAGGGGCAATGGGTGTGAGCTGGAACACAGGAGGTTCCGCTTAAACTTGAGAAGAAACTTCTTCACAGTGAGGATGACAGAGCCCTGGAACAGGCTGCCCAGGGAGGTTGTGGAGTCTCCTTCCCTGGAGACATTCAAGACCCGCCTGGACGCCTTCCTGTGTGATCTCATTTAGGTTCCTGCTCTGGCAGGTGGATTGGTCTAGATGATCTTTCGGGGTCCCTCCCAACCCCTGACATTCTGTGATTCTGTGTGATTCCGTGATTATTACTAGAAACACAAAAGAATAAGCCTGGATGAAGTAGTTGTGTGCCCGCATCACTGGATTTTTGCATGCATTTTCAAACGTTCTATATGAATCAAATGTTCACTGAATTACTGTATTAGTTGGTTTATAATGACTTAGCTTTAAAACCGAACTGTTCCTACCTGGATTAAATATGCCATCACCTTCTTCCCAGCCAATGAACTCAATCATTTTCTTGATGACTGCTTCTTCCACCAGCAGAAACACAGGAGATACTTCATATGTATATCTGAACAAAAATAAAAGCATTGTGATTGGTATGAAGACTACAGAACTCATGCCACAGAACACTGCTTAAATTAGATAAAGGTTTCTTGCACCTTTCTCTAATCCAGCAGAAGCTGACCACCATCAGCAGCAAAACTCTAAACTAAAAACACTATGGAACTGACCAGTAGAGCAATTGCTTAGTTCCCGACAGCACCACATTGACACTTCCACCCTCAAAGTAATACATAGGAGTTTGCTTCTAACATAGGTCACATACTTAAATTTCAGCTATAACGACCTATTATTACAAGCAAGAATAACTTTTTGTTTAGGCTTTACATTTGCAAACAAACAGTAGACAGGTAACCACTTCCATTCTACTCTGGAGAATGCTTCAAAGGAAACAAAAAACTGAGTAAGTCCAATTGGTTCACTTTTATGCATTAAGTAAAAAAAAAGTCTAGGTTTAGAAGTGTTGAAAAACAAAGATCTCTCCTCTTAAGCCCCACGTCAGAAACTAGAAAAAAAGCCTCATCAACTTAGCCAAGTTTCTGCTGAGCCATTCAGCCAAACCAAACTATTTCTCTCCGAGATTCCTGCACAATTCCTACCTCCTCTGTAACACCGAAAACAGACATTAGAAGAGGGGAAAGCAAAAAAAAGCTGTTATTCCAAAACACATGCAATTCATGATCAAGAGGACAAAGAACTACACTTACACGCTTGGGTTCAGTGCTTCTGCAATGAAACGAGCCACTAACGAGTAATAATCTATTCCAGCATACAGCTGATTGAAAAATCTTGGATGACCTGAAAACACAGATGAAAAGCAAACATTGTCTGGATATACATGAAAAGAGAATATATAACAGGCCCCTCAGCTGAATGCTGATCACTGCAAACCGCAATTGACTCCATTTTCTCAGTATTTTCTGGACTTACTGTCCTTTTCTTAGGTTAGGCAATCCTTGGAACCTAATTTAATAAGCACTTTCAGGTCCCAAAACAAGGTTTGAGAGATGTAAGCAGTGCACAGAATGTGTTGGTCACAAGTTTTACAAATCAAAAAAAAAAAAAAAAAGCAAAGGGACTGACAACTGAGTATACACAGTGGCTTTTAGCAGTAGTCTTGAGGGGCCACGATGGGCGTTCAGCCAAATTTTGCTAAGCAGTAGAATACAGGAACCTGCCAGTCCCAGGCAGCTGTGCCTGTGCTCCCACCAAAGTCTCAGTATTGATGGAGAGAGGCACTACAACAGCTTGGACAAACTTACTCCAAACTTAAAATGACAAGTTCAGAGAACTTGTTTATCTGCCTTGAAATACCAAGATTTAACTAATAATGAGAAAATTCTATACTATTGCTGATTATAAAAACAAGTCATTTCAGCAGTGGGATCACCACCTAGATTTTAATCCACAGCATAGTACTTTTACATGCAAAACTGTATAGCTCCATTTATATTATATCTGGGGCTTCAGTAAATGTTTATACTTAAAGACTATTTGCACAGCATATTTTTTACACACAGTATCCTTTGTAAGGTGACACAGTGTAACAAATGAAAATCTAAAGGCAATTTGCAAAAGCAAGATAAATAGAACACCTTCCAGTAACTCAGTAATCATATCTGCATATTATTAGTGCACTTCCCCTGTAGATCAATATTGCTACTTTTCTATGGTTTTCAAAGGCATGTGTTCATTCTCAAAATTATTTTATGGTTTTACTTTGTAGCAATAGTGACTGTAACAGGGAACATGCCCTGGAAATGCACAACTAACTATATAAAAGGTCCTTCCCACTTTCCAAAACACAACCTAAGTTATCCCACATCTGCAATACTGAGGTACTGATCCACAGCACTATTTCCTGAACAGATGTTGTTCATCCCTTTGTGCTGAGATCGAATTACACTACATGTGCAGTAGAAAGGTTAGCCATAGAGACATGGTGTGCTGTCTCTGAAACACTCCAGGCTCTCTTCTCACAGCATCTGGAACAGGAATTACTGTCTATCTGCAAATTAACACCCTATAAGACTATTACTCAAAAAGAGCAATAGTAAATATAGAATAATCATCACTAAGAACATGTTCTTGTTTGTACAAGGGCAGCAATGGTGACTCTACTCCTCATCAATCAGACAGCAGGAAATCACACACAAAGGTCCTTCTCCTGCCTGTTTTGCTAGACTGTTATATCATACCTGTCTAGGTGACTTCCACAAGACTTCAAAATAACAGAATCTACCACTAATGGCAATGGCATTACAGAAATTAGGGGGTTTTTATTAGTTTGCTATGATTACACATTTTAGTCAAACTGATGGTGACTAGCATTCAGTCAAACAAGGGAAACACAGAAAAATGTTTGCATACTTGTATAGGCAGGCAGAAAGCAAACATTTACACCCCCAGTTTCCTGAAAGGTGACAGAACTTTGTAAATGTTATCTTGTCTTCTTAGGTTAACATAGAAAATAACTCCACTAGAAATCACATTCCTACTGGTTTTGACGCTGTACTGTATAACATCCCGGCAGAGTTGCAAGAGTTTCTGATGAGATTCTCCAATGTCCCTCATTTCCAGATCAAGAATCTGCTTCAGCGCTTCAGGGGCTCGCCATTCACAAACCTAGTGATGGGGAGGAACCACCAACGAACAGGTTAGCCAAGAGGAAAAGGTTATAAAAGTAAAATGTAAACACCACATTCAGCACTGGTTCCACAAAACTGCCCATCGCAGCACAGCATGCCACCATAAAGTATCTCTGGTAAACTGGTCTCATGGGATCTTGGTTTTATTGTGCCTCAGGCGTTGCTTGACTATAAAAAAAATAGAGTGGGGAATGAAGGAAGGCTGAAAATCAAGAGGCCTGCAGGTCAAATTCTGTCCTTAGCTAACAATTTGTAATCACAGCATTTTCAGATGCTGTTCTGCCAAGGGGTGGGAGCAGTGAGGGCATGCCCAAAGGCAAGGAAGTTTCATTTGCAGCTTCCCTTCTGTGAAACCCATAGCAATCACACAACATTGCCCTTTGATAGTGGTACCACATCCACTGTTCCTCCTTCCCTGATATCATTGCCCTGGAGGGCCAAACAAATAACTGTCCCCACCCCAAACAAGAAAAGCACTGCACTCATCTGTCATCTCAGAAAAAGTGACCATTGTACTCCGAGATGAAAAAACTAATTATTTTCTGGCAAATATGTATTTTAACTATGTTATTGAAATGTTTTATAATATGATCTTTCTTAATTTGTAAGGCTGTCTTTTTATTTCAGAGCCAGGCACAGACTAGAAGCAATTTTGAGGCTACTTAAAGCACAATAAAATACAGCTTAGTAAAAAATTGGTTTACTGTTCATTACCTCTATTACACACTCTGAACAACTCTCTATGGCTTTACCTTTTCTGTTACATCATCAGTTTTTTGGATTACTTCTTCCATTATAATCTTACAGGCATCTTCCACAAACTTCTCTCCTGCCTTTGAGTCCATTATTGGGCCATTTAAGATGACACCATCCACCAAAACAGCATTCTTCTTCTTCTGGAGCATCTCCTGTTTGCAGATACCAACTGTAACATAAACAACTCACCATTAGAGAAACGCCTGGACTACTACATCATAAACTAAAAAAAAATATTCTTTCATTGTTGAAGAGTTAGTCAACTTAAGGAAAAAATTCACATGGACTTCTCACATGGAGAAAAATCCTATATTTTGGTGGAAGCACCTTTACAGACAAAAACCCCAGCGTGTTACTTCAAACCTAGATTGTTATTATGTAGGTAATAATAGCCTACTGTATGGTATCTACTGCTTTCTGTAGCATTCAAAAGTTTGCAAGGCACCATTCGAAACACAGAGGAAAATACCATCCTGGACTAGAACATGATAAAGCTGGATAAACAGAAATAAAGTGCAAGATAATAGGCATTTTTCCTAGCTGAAAGTGTTTCCCTCCACATGTCATCGCTCCTGCTCCTTTTTTTTCATGAAACAATTTTCAGCTTCATTTCCCGTATCTTTATGCTGCTCCTTCCCACCAGCCAGTCCTATTGCTCTGAGTCTTCTGTGTCCTTTCCAAAGTGTTTCACTGACCATGAAGATAAAACCTTTCAAGACTGCTGTCAATATCATACCTGTACTTCTCTCCTTTCTGCCCTTATCCTATCAAGTGCCCCCAGTCACTAATTACAGTAATTTTTTTGTGCATATTATCTTGCTTTTTCACTTCTGCAACAACGATCTCTTTCCTCTCCCTCACCTTTATCCATGAGATGTACTCTCATGATGTGTTCCATAAACACATTGCTCTTCCTCCTTTACATCACTTCTGAAAGCACATCCAAGATGCTGGTAAGACACTGGGCAATAAGGGCAACCATGTATCCATTTCATGTATTGATTTCATACAGTAAGATCAGGAGTCTAGTTTTAATAACACGAGGATAAAGATGAAAGTGAGACATTTGGAGATATCAAGGGAACAGACATTTGAAACAGTATAGTGCTGAAAAGAGAAGCAGTAACTACCATATCCAAATTATCTGGGTTACAGACAGCATCTATCCACTTATCTCACCTCGGAACAGCTAAGACCTATGAAGCCAGGCAGCACTGCCTTGAAGGGCCTTCTTCATCTACAGTGAGGATGGTGGAAGGGTAAAGATGTATGAAGGAGAAAGTTCTATGCCCAAAACAACTTTCTCTCCTGCTTTACTTTTCACTCCAGTTCCAAAGCACAGAAGACAGAGAGCTTTTTCGCAGGTCTCAACAAACAAGTGAATTTCCAGAAGATTGCCAGACACTGCAGTCTGACACATTCACCATGCTTATGGTAATTACAGTTTCTCATGCACAGGAGGATATAGAACAACAATGCTGCCTAGAAAGGTGGATGACTTACAGGTCCATTGACTGAAAGAAACCCTGCCAATCCCATGAGCTTTTATTTACTGATGACTCAGAGAAGCTATTCAGAGTATTTACTTTCACTTAACAGGAGAGATATGACAAAAAAGATTAAATTCTAACATGAAGTGGAACCTCAGGCTTCCCATACTGTTAATGACAAAAATGAGACGACCCTTCCCTCCACCCTCTGCATTTCTGGAATTGCTTCTATTTTTAATCCAAGGGGGCAATATACTATATTTCACTGAACAGAGTAGCCTTCAGCACATTGTTATAGGAGAGGCAGAGATGTTCTTATGGGACAGATACAGAACTAGCAGGTAAACAGTATTCCATCTTCAACAGGTAAAGCAGGAAAATCCTAGACATCAGAAATGTCATTTCTCATCACGCTTCACAGCACACCACAGCAGAGGCTCTGTACAGAAACTGCAGCTTTGAAAAAGTCTTAGAGGCTTCTCTCTGAAAACACAAACTAGCAGGTCAGCTTTACAAGACTTAAACCACCAGATATTAACAAGGAATTGGAAGGCACCAGGTCTTTGGGTAGACAGAACAGGGACTATTTTTGGATTTAACTCTTAACCAAAAAAAATTAAAATAATAATAAAAAAAAAATCTCAGTTTTGCCACCTCCTGGAGATGCTACCATCTCCACGTATGTCAAAGGTGTTTTATTTCTATGGAAAAGAGGACAGGATCTGACAAAAACTTTATAGGAGATTAATATCTATCACAGAGCATGGATGTTGATACTTCATTTTGTTACAGGAAGAAGAGACAGCAGAGCAAGAGAACGCACTAACTCCTTTTTTTTTCTACTCTGCTCCACCCCTTGGGTCTCTGCTAGAACCAGAGCCATGCAAAAGCCTTGTGTGGGTAACTGCAACAGCCCCATTTCTGATACTTTTGCATAGAGATGTGATACTTCCATGACTTTACAATGTTCTCTTACAATGATTCTGTGAAAAGCGGAAGCAAAACTTTATTTTTTCTACCAGGTCTTTAGGGGACTGTGTGATGGGTCAAACAATAATTCCCTACTTGAAGTAGGTCTATTCCCCTCTACATATAGTTTTACAGTCTCCATAGGACACTTTGTGAAGCCTGAGGAAGAAGACATCCTCTGGAAAATGGGTGATAGCCTACTCCCAGTCCCAACACATCTGTGTTGGGCATCAGGCACAGTCTATGAAACAGAAAGGCAAAGCAGAGGGGTCAGAAGGAAGGGAGGGAAAAGAGCTTTCACTTCAACAGCAATTTACCTATGTAAGGCTCCAGCAAAGAGTTCAGGACTTAGCCCACATTATATTTCATTAAATAGTACACCCTGCAACTACTTACTGCTTTCTCAATTTTATCTTTTTTTTTAATCACTTACCATTTCAATCTGAACTTGCTGAGCTAAATTCTGCCCTGGAACATACCATAAGACTGTTACTGGAAATTAATATGAAAAACTACTTCACAATCAGCAGTTAAATCAAGCCCCAAATACAGACATTTTCTGAGGTAAATGTCATCAGGTTTTGCAAGCCACTGTTGGATATATACACTACTCCCATCTCTGGTGATTTTACTGCAAATCCTGTGATACTTAATCTTCTACTTATAACTGTCTGACTTCAGGAGTTCTTATGAGAATCCCAAGCCCTTCTTTACTGAAAAATAAATTTGTTTCTGCTTCGTTGCAGCAAAAACCTTGAAGAGGAAAACTCAGTAGATTATAGAAGTCTAAACTTTCATAACATTGTTTTTCTTTTTAACACATTTTAAAAAAGATCCTGTGATCAATTACTTATGTTTTAGATGGGTGAACCTCCAGAAACATTCGAGTTTCACTTTTTATATCACAGTACTCAAGTTAAATGGCATGCTTTTAACACCTTCTCAGAGCTCAGCAGCCGAGCTAAGAAACCCACACTATGTTTACAAGCTGATAATTCATGTCTCTTAAAAAGTAAAATTTAAAAATCGTACTTCAAATGCTCAAATCATTATCTTCCAAGAATTTTGGGCCTTTTACATACCTGTCTCAAACACACCTGATTGCACATGGAGCCTGCTTCATAGAAACCGCATCTTATCACATATCCATTTTTTTGTTTTCAGACACGATAGGCAAACAATCTAGAGATGTGGCTGCAATAAATACATTTTTTTTCTATTTAAGAATCCAGAAACAGACTCCTAAGCAGACTCAGGAAACAGACTTCCAGAAAGTATATCAAATGCAATTTCAGCCAAATGGCTGCAGGCTTGAAACAGTACTAAAACTTTATCAAATGGAAGTGCTTAAAATCAGAGATTAAGGATTACTGACTGTTCAAGATATCCTTCTGCAAAAGAGAAGACTCTATCCTACTCCAGTTGAAGGTAACTGGGCATTTAGCCACTGGCTTCAGCAGCAGCAGACTCAAGCCCATAATTCTCTCATTTTATCCTGAATGAAATATTCTATTACAGCAGCCTAGGGATTTCCAAATAGCATTTCATTTTTATGATCAATATTATTTTCCCAGCAGTAAACACAAATTAATTGGAGCTGAAATAATATACAGAAAAATAAACATTTTTCAGATGTTTCTATATATTTATGTAAGCACTACCAAGTATTTTAAAAGCTGCATCTGTGTTTCCATAAACATATAGAAACTTTCACTGCTAAACTCTTGCATTACAAAAAGAAACTGGAGCCTTCGACTTGGCACGTTCTGACAACATTTGGGAGAGCAGAATAAAATGCGCAGGAAGATTTACTGCTCACAAGGAAAAGGCAGAAAGAGAAGGGGGTGGTTGTGAAAGAGTAGCTTGTGCTTGAATGCCAGAGCCAAATCCTACTCAGCTTACACGGTACAAGCACCACGGACTATTCAAGAGAATGCAAAAGGTTGGCTTTGACCAAAGACTGATTTCTGTTCTGTAACAAATACAGTAATAATTGCCAGCATTAATCAGAAACAGATTTTAAATTTCTCATCCTGTATGATCTAGTCATGGTTCTCCTTCTAGAAAACCTCAGTATTTTCTTTCAGTGGTTTGAGCAAAAGAAAGCAAATGAACTTCAGTGTCAAGACTCCACACCACCATGTTTAAGGGATTAATGTGGTGCCATATTGTGTATCAAAGTATTAAAACACAAACCTGTCCTGTACTATGGCATACACAATCTTTAAAGACATTTTCATTTTGTTAATCATTGCTTTCTGTATGTCTACGACTAAAATAAAGCCACTCCAGTTTTAAGGCAAAATACATTGTTTCTTAGTAAACTGATTTCTCAGGCCTGTTGCCAAGTAACAGAAATGCAGGTTTCTTAGAATCCAGTATATAAGTTGACTTGGTGTTCTGTCAAAGCCATCCATATTAAAAACCAAAAAAGTAGGCACAGGTATGGTAGGGTTCATGCAATTGCCCCTATACTATGTGATCCTATTTTGCAAGTTTATGGACCAGACCTGTGGACAGGGAACAGCTTGGGCACTTCCCTTCAGATGGTCTGTAAAAGCCCCTTCGGACTGTGAAAATGCAAAAGTGACCTTTATAGAGCAGGACCCAAGGAAAACAAAAGCGCTTGTGTTCGGTCCCAAAGGCCCCTCAATAGACTCTTTGAGCTCATTGCTAGCACTGAACAGCAACAGCACAACAAACAGCTCCTA